TATATATATATATATATATATATATATATATATAAAATACACGTAGCACAATCATGGTAGTTTTATATATGTATATATATACACACACAAATACATATGTATTTTTAATGTAAATTTTGATTATGGATGTCAGTAGCTTTACTTGTTAGTAGCGCTGTCTCAAGTAGTTTAACATCATTTTCAAAGTTTCTAAAGAGAAAGTGCAGATAACATAGCCTATTAAAATGTTTTATTGCATGATTGTAGACTTTGACATTGGGAAACAAGGGAAAATATATGTGACAAGAAATACTAGAAATGAGTCTGAAATGGAACAGGTTCTCTGTTCTCTTCCTGAAATGAGAAAGGCTGTCAGTGATGCAGCTCTCTGGAGACAACAAATCTATGCAGTAGCAATACTTTGCTTCTTAAAGTTAAGGTGTGAAAGGAGAGCTCTTTTGTGTTTGTGAGTATCATATTGCTTTATATATATTTAGTCAATATATAAAAAAAGTTCAAATATTAAGAAAATACATATATTAAGTTATTCATTCATTTAACAGTTTTTTAGTATCTTTACCTATCCTGCTGCTACTGAGGTAAAGGACCTCACTGCCTAATGTGCTAGAAGCCAATACTATGACACTGGATTTTTGAGAAAAATAAGAGGTTTTTATTGCAAGTTGACTCACAAGGAGACAGGAGACCAGCTCAAATCTGTCACCCTGTGCTGGCTTTAAGGCAGCAATTTTATTAGAAAAGATTTAGGAGGTGGATTCTGGGATTAGCATGGTAGAAGAAAAGGAGAGGTCTGGAAAGTCCTCAGGCAGGCACAGATATCTCTTCATGCTTCCTCATGTGTCCCTTGTGCAAATTCAAGCTCAGTTGGTATGAAATACATAGTGAAAATTCAGGCTGTGAAGTCAGCAAGATGATTCAGGGCACACTGTAATTGGCCATATTGGTTCTAGCTAATTTCAGCCAGTTTTATTATTTTACAAGCTGAGGGAGTTTCAGTGTTTTAACAAATTGTTTCTTTTTTTTTTTCTTCTTTCAGTCTGACACCCTGCAACCTCAATAATTTCTGCTAGTCATTGGTTTCTTTAACTCTTTGGGGCACAGTTTTACTACTGTTGTGAACAAAATTCGTAAGTCTTTTAAACTTTTTTATTTATATCACAAATCTTTATTGAAGCCTGCTATATACTAGGCATTGTTCTAGGAGCTTTGGTTATATTAGTGAACACAAAAGGAACAGATCCCAGCTTTCATGATGTTTACATCTGGTTGGGCGAAAAGAGGAAAAATACTGAATATAGAACTAAATAACTTACATGACAGGTTATAAAAAATAGGGTAGAAAAGGGGATAGGGAGGGATGACGGAGTTGGAGGTACATTGCAATTCTAAATAGGTTTGTTGGTGTTGGTTTCATTGAAATTGTTACATTTGAGACAAGATTAGAAAATATGGAGGGCTAATGATTGAGAAACAAAAGCATCCTTTGGCAAAAGGGAAGTTATTAAAGGTTTTATCAAGAGAAGGTCTGACAGTAGAAAACTCTTTTACAACACTTGACTATGGAGGGGAGTAGAAAGAGCAGAAGCTAAAAGGCAATGTGAAGTTGGAAGGAAAGTGATTTTATAATGAATGAGAAATACACGGAGTGGGGAGAGTTTGGATTAAGCTCAATATTGACAAGGACTGATCTTTTTGTTAGGAGCAAAGATCTATTATCTGCTTCAACAGAATAAAAGAATGAGAGGATGACCTGAATCTGTGGATATGTTTTTTTTTTTCTTTTGGTGGTGATAAGATGAAGGAGTTTCTGTCCTATAGACACCCTTTTTTTTCTATGAAATATAAGGCTGATAAGAAGAAGGAGGTAGAGTCTGAAGTCTGATGGGAAAGTGATCATTGCAAAGTAGACTCATGATTATTAGAGAAACAAAGATTGCTTGGAAGCATTTCATTTGCAATTTGAGTTGGTTGAATGAGTTCTAGGATATAAAAATAGTATTTTAAGTATTGCATTTAGTTTCATTAAAATTAAAATATTTGTAAACTAACAATTGAAGAATGTTAAAATTTTACTTGCAATTGTGCACATAGCAAGCTTGAGTTTGCAGCGTAAAATAGGGCTTCTTTCTCATCAGAAGTACCCAAGCAGGCAATTTGAGGCCTCCATTATCTCATAAAATTATTTCCCATGTTGTCCTGGTAAACCATACCTACAGAGGATTGCCCCTGGATTCCATCTTTTCTCTTGATGCTGGTACCCTTGAATATCTTCCAATGTAATACAAATTATGTACCATTTTTGATCCAATTTTCAGATTACTGTCACTGTATGTTTCATTTGATCTAACTAAACACCACAAATGCATGTGGAATTTTCATAGTTAGCACTTATATAACATCTTTGTGACTTAAATAATCAGAGGAAAATTGCTTCAGGCTCATATCATAATTTTGTTTTTCTTAGGTTACTAGTACCTGGAGTTGCTTTTATCTCCATCATTCTGGAGAAGATAATATATAAAGTAACTCGTGAAACTCATTGTTGGTGGTTTTCACCCAGTATGTATTTCCTTTCTCTGGAACAAATCCCGAAGACTCCTCTTACAAGCCTATTAATCATTAATAATACAGGTGAGAAACAGGGCTAAAATTTAGTGTCAAATTTTTTTATTATCAAAGATCTTTAGGAAGCACATACCTGAGAGACAATTGAAAACATAAATCATATCTCTCCATCTTGCTCCATTTTCAAATGAAGGAAACTGATGGGTTAATTTTATTTTCAAATATTTTTTATTTTGTATTATCTTTATTTCAGTAGGTTTGAGGGAAACAGGTGGTGTTTGGTTACAAGCATAAGTTCTTTAATGGTGATTTCTGAAATTTTGGTGCACTCATCACCTGAGCAGTGTACACTATACTCAATGTGTAGTCTTCTATCCCTCAACCCCGTCTCACCCTTTCCCCTGAGTCCGCAAAGTCCATTGGATCATTCTTATTCCTTTGCATCTTCCTAGCTTGGCTCCCACTTACAAGTGATAACATATAATGTTTGGTTTTCCATTCCTGAGCTACATCACTTAGAATAATGGTCTCCAACTCCATCTAGGTTGCTGCAAATGCCATTATTTCGTTTCCTTTTATGGATTAGTAGTATTCCATGGTGTGTGTGTTTTAAACCCACATTTTTTAAACCCACTCATTGATTGATGGGCACTTGGGCTCGTTCCATATTTTTGCAGTTGTAATTGTGCTGCTATAAACATGTGTGTGCAAGTATCTTTTTAATATAATGACTTCTTTTCCTCTGCATAGATACCCAACAGCGAGATTGCTGGATCAAATGGTAGACTTACTTTTAGTTCTTTAAGAAATCTCCACACTGTTTTCCAGTGGTTTTACTAGTTTACATTCCCACCAACAGTGTAAAAGTGTTCCCTTTTCACCACATCCATGTCAACATCTATTATTTTTTCATCTGTCTTCAGGTCTCACAACTATGGGTACAAGCACCTGTTCTGGTGGAGGTAGCAGGGGAATGAAGTGGACTCTGTGAGGGTCCTTGGTTGTAGTTTAGTGTGCTGGAACGGTGTTGGTCAACCTCCATCCTGGAGATGGCACTTTCAAGAGAGCATCAGCTATGGTAGTATAGGGAGGAAGGATACAAGCTTGCCCTAGGGTAGCCTGGATAAGTATTCAGTTTTCTCAGGTGGTGGTTGGGGCCATAGAGCTTCCAAGAGATTATATCCTTTGTCTTTGGCTACCTGGGTGGGTAAAGAAAGACCATCAGGTGAGGGCAGGGTTAGGTATGTCTGAGCTTAGACTGTACTGGGGGAGGCTTACTGCAGCTGCTGTGGGGCATGACCTTTGGAGTTATGTTCCCAGGGAGATTATGGCAGCTTCTGCTGCGTCATACTGTGACATGGTAAAAAGCCCCATAAAACTGCATACCTCAACCATACCTCGGCTTTGTGTTTAAACTGCTCTCTATAACCCAAATGTGAATGAGCAATTAAGGACTATAATCGCTACCTTACCCAGACAATGTGTAAACAAATGCTAATCTTGACTTTTGTGAATCACTTAAGTAACAACCTCCCGAGCCCCTCACCCCATCTTCGCCCAGGAATCCACTGGAATGTCTGGAACCCCCTCACCACCACCCGCTGCCCCTCTCCCTCACGCCCAAGGTGATTTTTACGGGTATAAAGGGGTCTTGACACCCTCCTTTGGGGGCCACGGGTTAATAAAGACCCTGTAATTTGGCATAAAGACCCTGTAATTTGGCATACTTTTGTCTTGGTGTTGACTTTCTGTGCTCAGTCCTGTACAACAATACCAGTCACCAGGGAAGTGGGGGAAAGCTGGCAGTGACTGGCCTCACTTAGTTCCCATATAGCCGGAAAGGTGGTCTCACTCCCATCATACCCCCACAGCAGCACTGAGTCTGTTTCCAGGCAGCTGGTGAGCAGAACTGAGAACTCTCTACATGCTACAAGAGTCCCTTTGAAAAAGCAAGCAGAACTTTCCGGTTTTGTACCTCTCTACCTGCCATGGCTTCTCTGCTCGTAGCTGCACTCCCTGATCATCCCCTCCCCAAGATTCTGTCCAGGAAACTTTGCATTTGGTTGAAATTGTTATAAAGTTCAGCTGGAAGTTTCTTTCTCCCTGTGGTCTTTCCCCAGTTCCACTGGCAGCCCTCCCCAACCTGTGAGACAAAGTCAAAAATGGCTTCCTTGGGGACTGAGATTGCTCACAGGGTTCTTCCCATTGCTTCCTCTACGCCTATATTTTGCTTGGCTTTCTAAACTTATCTTAGCTCCAGGTAAGGTAATATCCTTCTCCTGTGATCTGGACCTTCAGGTTCCCCTATGAGGATGTGTGTTTGGGGGTGGACATTCCCCCTTTCACACTTAGGGCACTCACAGTTTTTCAGCTTCTCAATGGAGCCTGCAGCTGCAAGCCACCTCTTTCAAAGGGTCTGTGGATTCTCTCCCTGATGGATCATTTTAAATTCAGAGCTCCCTTGGTGGGGGGTGGTTGATTCAGATTGTAGAGGCTGCATTATAGCTTGACTTCTCCCTCTGACCAATGTGACTTCCTTTCCATTTCTGCTGGGTTAATTTTCAAGTCAAGAAAAATAATGGGCACAATGGCAAATGTCAAGTTAACTTAATTTCATAAAGATATTTTGAATGAGTTACTAGTACTTTAAATATCATTGCAAGGTTAGTGAGATAGAGCCATTTCAGGTTGATAGGATCACAAGAACAAGCCTGGGTCATGAGGTATATTTTGTGTGTATTATTCGTAATTACAAATATTACGTGGTTCTGATAAAGTTTATAAATTCACTACTAGCAAATTTTCTTTCTGTGAGAATTGTAATCTTATTTTCATAAACTCTTTTCATCTGGTGAAAATTATAAGAGAAATGAATATATTTCTGAAAGGAATAAAGGAGTCCATTACATTAAAGATGGTAAATGGAACTTAATGTCCTAGCCTCAGAATGAATGGTATCATACTCCTGAAGAGCAAGGCTCTTTACTGAGCTATTCTGGGGTTTTCTTAACATGACTAGAAATCATTATTATTTTAAAGCTTTGACTTTGATGTAATGCTTTTTTTTTTCTTGTTGCCTTCCTTTCATTGACTACATCAGGATCAAATATTGAAGACCTCGTGCATTCACTGAAGCATCAGGATATAGTTTTGGAAATAGATGACTTTAGAAACAGAAATGGCTCAGACGATCCCTCCTACAATGGAGCCATCATAATGTCTGGCGACCAGAAGGTATGTTTGCTTCCGTGTACCATTTTATCATGAGTGGTTTTTGTTTGTTTGTTTGTTTTTGTTTTTTGTTTTGTTTTGTTTTTGCCACATCTTAACATTTTGAACTATAGGAAACTCATATTTTCTAACTTGTCATATTAGAGGAGGCTTGAAACTATCTTTGTCACATAAAATGTCATCTTTCCATGTGAGTGAATGTTAATCCATTTCATCTACAAAACAAGTCACTTGAATTACAAAAATAATGCATTCTTATACCAATTCAAAGAAGGCAGAAGTGTCAAAGAAAAATTAATATTCTCCTTCTCATCCGAACTCCACTCTGGTAATATAAAAAATATCCAATAAATGTATTTACTCCAAGAACTTAGAACTTATATTTGTGTACTTTTTTTTTTTAAGGATTACAGGTTTTAAGTTGCATGTAATACCAAGAAATTTAATTGTTTTCCTGTTCTTATGGGTATTGTTAGCAATGCCTTATTGGAATTTTTTACTTCACGGAGCTTATTCAAATGGAGAGCAGCTCATTTTCTTGTGTAAGTAGAGTATTGACTTATGTAAGAGGCAACACAGCAGAGTAACAAAGGATGAGGGCTCTAGAGCCTACCACCTGAGTTCAAATCCTGCTTCTTCCACTTAATAGCAAATTTCTTAGCTACCCCTTGCCTTTGTGTCTTTATCTGCAAGACAGGGAGTGTAATAATATCTACTTTATATAATTATTATGAAAATTAAATGAATTTACTGAGTACCTAGAACACAGCATGGCATATATGTATTTATGTATAAATATATATTTAAATTAATTCAATAACTACTTTCTGAGTGTGCTATTTTCTGGTACTTCTAGGTGTCGAGAATACAGCATGAGCAGAGAAAACAAAAGTCTCACCCACATGGAGCTTACATTCTTGTAAAGAGGAAGCATTCAAATACATGTTTGCTGGAGGAAGGCAGCAAATCACACTGCCATGTGTGTACCTATGCAACAATCTTGCATGTTCTTCACATGTACCCCAAAACCTAAAATGCAATTAAAAAAAAAACCAAATACGTGTTTGCTATTACTTATTCTAAAAGATCAAGAATCTTTCAAGTACTTTTATGTTTAGTCAAATTAAATTTTTAAAATTCAAAAGTTTTATGGAAAAATTTAAATATATAATTCTTTAGTAAGTTGCATGTAACCTATCACTTCCTACCCCTTATCCTGATCTATTTATCTATTGTGTTTATTACCACTTGGTATACTATAGAGTTACGTTTTATGGCTGGCCTCACCCCTCTAGTTTAAAATCTTGTGTGATCAAAAATTGCAGCCCAACACAGAATATTAGAAGAGTCAAATCCAAAAGGACACTGCAAAATGTAAAATAATAGAGAAAAAAAAAAAACAGGACTGTTGAAAACTCATAATTTTGACTTTGGTTTACCATATACAACTTACTGGGTACTCAGTGCATATTTACTGAAATCAATGAATGGATTTGCTTGGAAATGAAGAATACCAGAGATACCTCTAACCTAAATCCTTAATTTTATGTCAGATTGTCAGATTTCCCTGGAGAATTAGATGAATATAAGACATATGCACGGATTAATGCAAATGCAGAAAAGTGTGTACGTGTGCATATATACTTATGTATGTATATCTCCACCATAAAGGGATTATGATAAAATATAGTCCAATCCAGCCAGGAAAGAGGGCTCAAGCCTGTAATCCTAGCACTTTGGGAGGCCAAGACTGGCATATCATGAGGTCAGGAGTTCGAGACCAGCCTGGCTAACATGGTGAAACCTCATCTCTACTAAAACTACAAAAATTAGCCAGATACAGTGGTAGGCACCTGTAATCCTAGCTACTTGGGAGGCTGAGGCAGGAGAATCGCTTGAACCCAGGAGGTGGAGGTTGCAGTGAGCCGAGATGGCGCCATTGCACTCCAGCTTGGGCAGCAAGAGCAAAACACTGTCTCAAAAAAAAAAAAAAAAAAGGTCCAATCCCTAAATTATGATTATTTAATACTTCTATTGTTCTTTGTAATTTTAAATTCTGCAGTGCCTTTTTGGGTTTGGTGTCTTTATGTTTGTGAAGTGCAATTTTTGATCAGACACAATTTAGTTATCCTTTCTAAACCATCAAATAATTTCTAACTGGTGTGTTTGATTATGATAGATAAAAAAGGAAAAATTATAGAAATGATGTGGATGTTAGCAAGAATATGCGTAGTGGTTTTAGAGAATGAGGTTTTATTGAAAAATTGCACAATAAGAAATTAATACTGTATAATGCAAACTCTACTTTTCTGCAAATGAGATAGGGTGATTTAATTGTAAATATAGAAACTATCTAATATAAAACAATACAGTGCCTTTTTAGAAGATAATAGCAATGTACTACCAGTTCAGAGCAAAGATAAGGAAAATATAATCAAAACTTAGTCCTAGTAATTTCTCAAGAGTCAGATCTAATATAATTTCAGCTGTTTCCCAATACTGCCAGAGTTAATTGTGCCTTTATTTAGCCTTAATTGTTTACTTTTATTATAGAATTGATGTTGTCTTGCCTTTTTTAAAAGAAATCTACCTCTTTCTAACGTCCTCCAGGACTTTTCAGCAGATGCTTTAGTGCTTAAATACCCTCCTAATTTATTTTTCAGTGGAACTGAGTTCAGACTGAGTTTGTCATTATTTTTCAAATATGGACTTCTTGAGGGTAATAATTATATTTAACTTATTTCTAGCACAAAGGATGATGCATTGCACAGAGCAGAAACTCTATAAATGCTTGTTGAATGGATAAATGAGTGGGTAGACTGGATAACTAGTCAGGCTGTGTACCGTTTATTACCGTTATGGCACAACTTTCTCTTCTGCAAGATGGAAACTGCAACCAGATAATCTGTAATAGTCCTATTTTTAAAATTTTGTGATTTTAATACTTGCTTTTTCTACTTCATAAAGTAGATGTAAGGTTCCCCCTTTCTATCAGTAGTATTGTGACTGTTTCAATGTCCTAAGCTACAAAATTGTCTTTTTAGATGCATCTCTTTTTTTTTTTTTTTTTCCCCATTTATTTATTTTATGGCATTTTAGGTTTTGGGGTACATGTGAAGAACATGCAAAATTGTTGCATAGGAACACACGTGGCAGTGTGATTTGCTGCCTTCCTCCCCATCACCTACATCTGGCATTTCTCCCCTTGCTATCTCTCCCCAGCTTCCCACCGCCCACCGTCCCTCCCCTATTTCCCCCCAACTGACCCCAGTGTGTAGTGCTCCCCTCCCTGTGTCCATGTGTTCTCATTGTTTAACACCCGCCTATGAGTGAGAACATGCGGTGTTTGATCTGCTCTTCTGTCAGTTTGCTGAGAATGATGGTTTGCAGGTTCATCCATGTCCCTACAAAGGACCCAAACTCATCGTTTTTGATGGCTGCATAATATTCCATGGTGTATATGTGCCACATTTTCCCTATCCAGTCTATCGTCGATGGGCATTTGGGTTGGTTCCAGGTCTTTGCTATTGTAAACAGTGCTGCAATGAACATTCGTGTACACGTGTCCTTATAGTAGAACGATTTGTAATCCTTTGGATATATACCCAGTAATGGGATTGCTGGGTCAAATGGAATTTCTATTTCTAGGTCCTTGAGGAATCGCCACACTGTCTTCCACAATGGTTGAACTAATTTACACTCCCACCAACAGTGCAAAAGTGTTCCTATTTCTCCACATCCTCTCCAGCATCTGTTGTCTCCAGATTTTTTAATGATCGCCGTTCTAACCGGCGTGAGATGGTATCTCAGTGTAGTTTTTATTTGCATTTCTCTGATGACCAGTGATGATGAGCGTTTTTTCATATGTTTGTTGGCCTCACGTATGTCTTCTTTTGAGAAGTGTCTGTTCATATCCTTTGCCCATTTTTGAATGGGCTTGTTAGTTTTTTTCTTGTAAATCTGCTTTAGTTCTTTGTAAATTTTGGATATCAGCCCTTTGTCAGATGGGTAAACTGCAAAAATTTTTTCCCAATCTGTTGGTTGCCGATTCACTCTAATGATTGTTTCTTTTGCTGTGCAGAAGCTGTGGAGTTTGATTAGGTCCCATTTGTCTATTTTGGCTTTTGTTGTCAATGCTTTTGGCGTTTTGGTCATGAAGTCCTTGCCTACACCTACGTCCTGAATGGTTTTGCCTAGATTTTCTTCTAGGGTTTTTATGGTGTTAGGTCTTATGTTTAAGTCTTTAATCCATCTGGAGTTAATTTTAGTGTAAGGTGTCAGGAAGGGGTCCAGTTTCTGCTTTCTGCACATGGCTAGCCAGCTTTCCCAACACCATTTATTGAACAGGGAATCCTTTCCCCATTGCTTGTTTTTGTCTGGTTTGTCAAAGATCAGATGGTTGTAGATATGTTGTGTTGCCTCCGAGACCTCTGTTCTGTTCCATTGGTCTATATCTCTGTTTTGGTACCAGTACCATGCTGTTTTGATTACTGTAGCCTTGTAGTATAGTTTGAAGTCTGGTAGTGTGATGCCCCCCGCTTTGTTCTTTTTGCTTAGAATTGACTTGGCTATGCGGGCTCTCTTTTGGTTCCATATGAAGTTTAAGGTGGTTTTTTCCAGTTCTGCAAAGAAGGTCATTGGTAGCTTGATGGGGATAGCATTGAATCTGTAAATTACTTTGGGCAGTATGGCCATTTTCACGATATTGATTCTTCCTAACCATGAACATGGGATGTTTCTCCATCTGTTTGTGTCCTCTCTTATTTCGTTGAGCAGTGGCTTGTAGTTCTCCTTGAAGAGGTCCTTTACATTCCTTGTTAGTTGTATTCCTAGGTATTTTATTCTCTTTGTGGCAATTGTGAATGGAAGTTTGTTCTTGATTTGGCTCCCTTTAAGTCTGTTATTGGTGTATAGGAATGCATGTGATTTTTGCACATTGATTTTGTATCCTGAGACTTTGCTGAACTTGCTTATCAGTTTCAGGAGGTTTGGGGCTGAGACGATGGGGTCTTCTAGATATACAATCATGTCATCTGCAAATAGAGACAATTTGACTTCCTCCTTTCCTATTTCAATGCCCTTTATTTCTTTTTCTTGCCTGATTGCTCTGGCTAGAACTTCTAATACTATATTGAATAGCAGTGGTGAGAGAGGGCATCCTTGTCTGGTGCCACATTTCAAGGGGAATGCTTCCAGTTTTTGCCCATTCAGTATGATATTGGCTGTTGGTTTGTCATAAATAGCTTTTATTATTTTGAGATACGTTCCATTGATACCTAGCTTATTGAGTGTTTTTAGCATAAAGGGCTGTTGAATTTTGTCAAAGGCCTTCTCTGCATCAATTGAGATAATCATGTGGTTTTTGTCTTTGGTTCTGTTTATGTGGTGAATTACGTTTATAGACTTGCGTATGTTGAACCAGCCTTGCATCCCCGGGATGAAGCCTACTTGATCATGGTGGATAAGCTTTTTGATGTGCTGTTGCAATCGGCTTGTCAGTATTTTATTGAAGATTTTTGC